CAAAAGCTTTTTAACAAGCTGAGATCCCATTTATTGATGCTTTATAGTATTTCACTTGCAGTCTTGGTTTTATTCATAAAGTCTCTGCCTAAACCTATGTATTCAAGATTTCTACCATTTTCTCTTCCAGTAAATTTAATGATTCTGCTTTGATATTTAGATCTTTGATCAGCTTTGACTTTAATTTAGTGAATGGTTTAGACATGAATCTAGTTTTAGTGTCTGTCATGTAGAAAGTAAGTTTTTCCAGCATCACTTATTAAAGAAACTATATTTCTTCAAGTGAACATATTCAGTTCCTATGTCAAAGATAAAGTGTTTGAGTATGTTCGTGTTGTGTCTACATTTTCTATTCTGTTAAATTAATCCCCCAGCCTTTTTTTTTTTTTTTGCTAAAGCCATGCTGATTTTATAAAAGCAGCTTTGTAGTACTTCTGGGGTTGTTATATCCTCTGATTTGTCTTTATTGCCCAGAATTGCCTTTGCTATTCTACACCTCTTCTCATTCCAAATGAATTTTAGGAATGCTTTCTCTAGATCTGTGTGGTATACTAAAGGTATTTTGATTGGGAACACATTAAATTTGTATGGCAGTTTTAAGAGTATGGCCACTTTCAGTATGTTGGTTCTTCTTATTCAAGAGCAAGGGATGTCTATGCATTACCTGACATCCTCTTCAATCTCCTTTTTAACAGTACTGTAATTTTCACCTACAGATCTTTTACATTCTCTGTTAGATTGTCTCTTACATATTTCATTTTTTGGATGCTATTCTAAGGGATGTACTCTCCTTAGTTTCTCTGTGATTTTCATGATTGTGTACAGGAATTCTCTTGATTTTTTAGTGTTGCCTGTGTATTCAGCTATCCTGATGAATTTACTTAAATCTAGCAGGCTTTTGGTGGATTCTTTGGGATCTTCTATGTAAACTATCACATCATTGTCTAATAAAGATAATTTAATTCCTCTTTTCCTCTCTTTGTTCGTTTTATCTCTTTCTCTTGCTTAATTGCTCTGTCTAATATTTCCAGAACTTTAGTAAATAGAAGTGGTTGTAATGGACACCCTTGACTTACTCCTGAACTTGAGGTGAAAGGTTTCAGTTTTTGACCTTTTAATATGACGTAACCTGCTGATTTGTCACAGATGGCTTTTATAAGATTGTGGTAAAGACCATCTAGTCCAATTTTTGTAGAGTTTTTATCATGAATTGGTTTTAGACTTTATGAAATGCTTTTTCTGCATCTATTCAAAAGTTCACATAATTTTTGTCTTTAGTTCTGTTGATATGATGTATTACATTTATTGATCTGCATATGTTGGAGCATCCTGGCAACCCTGAGAAGAATATTAATTGGCTGTGGTATATGATCTTCTCGATGACCTGGTGCATTCCCTTTTCCAGTATCTTACTGAGGTTTTTGTGCCTATATTCACAAGGAGGTTTTTGGCCTACAGTTTTTTTTTGTTTTTTTTTTTTGGTTTTTTTTATGGTTGGATTCTTCTCTGGATTTAGAGACAGAATAATACTCGCATCCAGAAATTATTTTCAAATTACTTCTTCCATTTTAATTTTCTTAGAGTTTCAGCATGTGTGGCCTTATTTCTTCTCTAAATTTTTTTTAGAATTCAATAGTGAATCTGTCAAGCCCTCAATTGTACATTATTGCTAAATATTTAATACATTTTCAATCTCATTAGCTGATATCAGATTACTTGAAATTTTTATATCTTCTCAATTTGGTTTTGGCAATTTGATTAAGATGAAAAAATCTGTCTATTTCTTCTATATTTTCTATATTAGAATATATATTCTCTTGGTAGGTGCGATAATCTGAATTTCCATGAAAAATATGATTTTTCTTTTTATTAATAACTGCTTGAATTTATGTTTTTACTTTCCTCTTTTTGATAATGCTGGCTAGTGGTTTATCAATTTTATTTATTCTTTCAAAGAACCAACATTTTATTCATTGATTTTTTTTGTAATCTCTTATGTTTATTTCTGCTCTTATCTTTATAATCTCCCTTGTAAAAGTTTTGGGTTTGATTTGTTCTTTTTCTAGAAGTTTAAAGGTCAACATTAGGTTGTTTATTTTAGATCATTCTGTTGTCCTAATGTGTGAGTTTATTGCTATAAATTTCCCTTTTAGAACTGCTTTCTGTTGTAGAGGGGCTAGCGATTTAACTTAGTGGCATAAGTGCCTGCCTTGCAAGCACACAGTCATGAATTTGAGCCCCACACCAAAAAAAAAAAAAAAAAAAAAAAAAAGAAGAAGAATGAAAGAAAGAAAGGAACAATCAGGATAAGAGATCCAGCCATGGTGGAACATACGTGCCTGAGCAAGAACAAAATTCACCTCCCTTCCTGGTAAGTGCCCCTGGTGCAAGCCAAAGAGAGAACCAGTCAGCATCTTCCAAGATCCAGCCATGGTGGAATGTACGTGGCTGAGCAAGAAAGCAATCCACCTTCCTTCCTAATAAGTGACCCTGGCACAATCCAGGAGAACCATTCAGTGTCTCCCAATCTGACCATGGTGGAACTTAGGTAGCTGAGCAAAAAAGCAATTCACCATCCTTCCTGGTAAACACCTCTGGTGTGAGCCAGGAAGAGAACCAGTCGTCATGTCCCAAGATCCAGCCATGGTAAGTCTTAGGAACTTGAGCAAGAAAGCAATCCACCTCCATTCCCAGTAAGCACCCTGGCATGAGCCAGGAAGAGAACCACCCAGCGCCTCCTGTGAGCCTACCAGTGCATAAGCTGAGAATGAGATGTTTTATCCATTCCCCTCCCTGCCCTTAGGAACTGGGGGCAGAGATCTGAGCATTTCTATGATGACTATATGCAATGTAGCAAGTATGGGAGATTTCCTTTTATCTTTCCTTTGAAGGCAAATGTTTTTACTGTTTGCTTTGTTCTGATTGTTGTGTTCTATTCAATATTCTCTTTCAGTTGGTTTTATAATGTTCTGGTTTTTGGTTTGATTTTACTATACCTAATTGAATGGACAATTATTGTGAAGATAATGAGATATACTATGGTACATATTACTGTTACCTAGATATCCTGCTGTGAAGTTCTGTACCAGTTTCACAGCATTGTCTCAATCATCTTTGTTCTGTGTTGTTGTTATATTTTACTACCTTCAAAATAAAATTGTTTTTTAAGAAGTGTGAGAATTATTAGAATTTAACATGAGAATGCTCTCTTTTGTAACAACATCAGGAAATATGATGGAGACCACCAGACTTGCTGTAATCAGAAATTCAGACACAATTTAGAACGGACAGAGAAATTCCATTTGCAGAGAGGTTATAGCAACAGTAATCATCAGTGGAAAAACTCAACTGGCAACATGACAGGTGCCGGATGCTGCAGTACTAGCTGAGACACAGATCAAACCAAGCAAAATTTATCAGAGACATATGGAAGATAAGACAATGAACTCTGATAAACTCCCACCTATTTACAGAGATTTGAATGCCTGTGCACCCACATGCACACATACACATGCACACATACACATACTCTAAGGAGAGACCAAAAAGAATCATAGTTAATACACCGACATGTCCTGATTATACACAAGGACTTGCATATATGACGTACAGCCCAGCACAAATGTGTAAACAGTCAAGTGATTAACACATGTCCTCAATCATATAGGGCACAAGGTGGAGACCTTAGTTATTTAAGCTGTTGACACTCAGCCTCTGCTCTATCATTGCTTCCCAGTAAGGTGTGCTGACCCAGGAATAGTTCCTGAGAAGCTAAGTTTAACAATTAAAATAATAACTAAAGAAAGAATGGGACATGGGAAAAGAGGGAGGCATGGATGGAGGGAGAGAAAAGATAGATAAAGGAAACAAACAGTTATATGTTTTAAAAGAGGTGCAGGAGTAAACAGAGACATCAGTGACTACAAAACGCAGGGTAAGAAAAATATACAAAATGTTTTCAAGCAAAGAATTGATAAAAACAAAGAATAATAAATGAGCACACAGTAACACAAAATACCAAAATGCTTTTCTTAATGAGTCTCATAATGAAAACTATTTCTATTCAGCAATGAAAAGGAAAAAGACTGTTCCCAATTATCTTGTTTTAAGCTCCTGTATCATTTTCATTGTTTTTTGCTTGGTTTTATTCTGCTTTGTTTTGTTTGATTTTATTATATCTGATGACATAGGCAGCTATTTCAAAGGTGGCATAATATATTATGGCAGCCAGTGTTGAAGTCCTATTAACTTGTTTTAAAATCCTTTTTCACTTTCACTGTTTTGTTTTGATTAGGTTTATTCTGTTTTATTTTGTTATTTTTCGTTTTCTTGAAAGAGATAGAATAAGCTGCATTTTTCTATAATACAAGTTCTGCAAGGTCTGTAATGAGCATAAGTAAACTACAAAAAGGATACTGAAATTTCTCAGCTAACTTAATCATTTAAATCAGAAAAAGAACATCAGTGTTTCAAATGTTCCAACAGTATCAGAGAGGAAAAATAAGGGAAAAAAACTGACAATACTACAGTTATTCTAAGCTCATATGGTAGTTTACATTTACTTGTTTATTTTCCCATTAAGTATATATTGAATGTAAGAAAGGTACCCTTGTCATGGTCCTTACCTTCAAGGAATTAAAAAGAAAAGGAGGAAAGAAGACCTGGGTAAGACCAATTCAGGAAGCAAAAGAGACAAGATTGTAACAGAGTGCAGTGGAAGGGCTCACTGAGGTCAGAGGAGTAAAAGCCTGCTTCATAGACAAGGGTCAACAAGATCTCTGAACAGTGACATCAGGAAGGGCAATCAATGATGTAATACTACTGACAAAAATAGAGGTGCTGTCCTATGGAGTATCAGAATACGGGCCACATCAACAAGTGATTAGCATAAAAAATGAGAAACAGTTTAAACAGATTGTAGAAACATGTCATCATCATGCTGTCCAAAGCTCCTGGGAATTTGGCTTCTTGTTACCAAGGGAGAGGCCGGAGCAGTCATCTCATGGGATACCCTGATACGTGCTGTGGAAAAATGGAAGAAACACTAGATAAATTGAAGAAGGTGCTACTATTGATACATTGCATCAACTTGAGAAGTTTAGAAGTTTAACTAAACAACTCAGCAGGGAACCAAGGTCCTTACTTTCCAAACAAGGAAGAGGAAGGCAAAGAGATATTATTCTATTCAGCAGTGAAAAGCAAAAAGACTGCTCCCAATTATCTTGTTTTAAAGTCCCATATCATTTTCATTGCTTCTACCCTGGAGGGGGGTGACCTGTGTAAAATATAAGTGAGAAAATCAGGCTAGCTCTTTCCTTTCCTTTTTTTTTTTTTCTCTTGCTGCCTTTTTTGTCTTCAACTCTTTTGATATGTTGCCCTGTGCCATGCCACCCTGCCTTGGAATCAGCTGATTATGGATTGAACTCCACAAACTTTGAGCTAAATAAACTATTCCTTCCTTAATTTGGGGTTTTGGGTTTTATGTCTTAGCAAAGAGAGAAAAGTAACCAAGGTAAACAGCAAAACAAAAGGTAATGGATGTAACAAACACGGAACAAAAAGTGGCAGGTAAGAAGTAAATACAAAGAACTCACCAACGTTTCTTACACAACAACACAAGAACTATCAGAAGCACCAGGGGCACTATCACTGCCAAGGCAATCAAGATCACCGAAAGGCCATGTCCTGTGGTATTGGAGATACACATACATGTCATCTAAAACCTGCTGCTGGTTCTACTCTATTCATTAGATTTTTAAAATAATATATGACTGGGTAAATGCCATACCATTTATCCTGTTACAGTCACTCTATTCCCATTTCTGCCCAAGGAAGATTCTCTGGCTTCCCAAAAATGTCTTGAATCTATGTGTTTCTCAGTTTTGACCTCTCACATCCTGGAATTGCTCATGTTCATGTCTTTGTTACTTTCTTCAACTAAATCTGGCCTCATCAAACCTTCCTCTATCCTACCTCATGCTCAAGGGCCCCCAAGCCAAACCTTCAAACTCTAGTCTCACCCCAGTAGAGGATGATGTCTTGGTCTCTCAGGCTGCTGTGCCTCACTCGACAAGACAGCCCAGCTGCCTCTTCAGCTACCACATTCAGGGTCACCCGAAGATACCATGTCCCATCAGCATGTGGAAGAATATCGCCTTGTTTAGTTTCCAGTTGTTCCTGTGCACCTCGCATCCACATCACCCAAATAGGCTTTGGGTAGAAACCAGAGACATGACAAGCCAGCAAAAGTCGACCAGGCTCGAGGTTGGGACTACTGGATAGCCAGACCTCTGGTCTCACTGCATGAAGAAGAAGAGAACTCAGAAATGGACATATTACACAGCTTAATTACACAGATACTCAAGCCAGTATTCAGTGCCTTTTTTGTTCCTCTAGGAACTAGCTCTTGTCCCCTTCCCTGTGCTAAGTTTGAAGCTTTCTTGTCCCTTTCCCTGTGCTAAATTTGAAGAGGGTGACAGGCAGAGGCATGACACAAACAGAACAATCTCAGAGGAAAGGGCTAAACTGACCTTGTCTCTGAAGATCCATCTTTCCTGCTTCCAGGAGACTCAGTAGTAAACGGGGGCAGATGTCATTCATGACATAGTATGCTATTTCCTTGGTGGCTTCATAAGTATTGAGTATATCACAGGCCTTCTGGGCCCTAGTCTCACCCTCTGGAGATGGCACACATGATTTGTGTTGGAAACTCAGGAAATTTAATCCATTAAAAGCTACATGGAGGAAGCTTTTTGTGGTCTCTCTGGAGTGCAGCTCACATCCAAGTCTCACCTGTATGTCAAAGGGATCTGGGGGAAGAAAATAATGAGAACAAAAGGGTAAAGGAAGAAAATGAGAGCAATGATATCAGAATTTAAGGGGCTGATCAGGAACTAGTATAAAAATTTTTATGTAGATGTGATAATGAACTAAAGATATGCACAATTAGAAACAAAGGAAGGAAAAAATGCTAAGGGTGAAAAATGGGAACAGTAAAAGATAAATATCTTCAATTAACAAGAGATCGACCTGAGCACAGTTTAAAGAAATGATATGTGATCTCCATAATATAAGCTATAGGGGATGTGAGGAACTGTTTTGAAGGAGATGAAAGTGCATTTCATGTTGCATAACATTGGTCACCATTGTTGTTACACTGTGAATGTAGACTTTTGGGGATATTGAAGAGCTGTGTTTTCAGGAAATCAATTACAGAACCAGATAACTTTGTACCTCTGGACTGTGCACCACAGAAGGAGATCACAGTGGAAAAGTTTAGATAAAAACTATTCCTGAAGTAGCAAAAGCCTGAAAATTTTCAGTAAATATTTGGAATGTACCCTATACATGCATACTTTTATCTTGATATGAGATAATAAATATGTACAAGCAAGGAACATGAAATATTTCCCAGAAATAGAACCCTCAAAAAATCTCTCAATCTCAGTTGATTGAACTCACATTTGAACTGTAACTGACTGGCTTGTTGGTGAACGTCCAATGTTAATTCAGCAAAATGGACACGTAATAGCAGCTGCATGTCCGTCACCTCTTCATTGCTGAAGTTGCCCCTGGACCAGGCATGTAGGAAAATTATTGTGCCTGACTCACTGTCCCAGCTGTGAGTCTGCAACTGATCCAGCCAAGCAGAGCCAAGATTTTGTGTCCAGGACTGGTTGGCATAGGATGAGATCTGCATTAAGTACAATGAAATGTTTTCCTGGACCACTGTAGAAGAAGTTCCAGTAGTACAAGGAAAGCAGCAGGGGAAAGGAGAAAAATAAATTAGAAAATAAACCAGTTACCAGAGGAAAAAGCATAATGGTCAGCTTAACAACATTTTCTTTACAAAAGACACCTGTTCTAACATGATCCTCAAGAAAAAATAGAGACAGGGTGCTCAAACTTCCAGGCTTCCAGAATTCTAAGTAATTTATCTTAAGAAGGCTTGCAAAACTCCACCCAGACCCAATCAAATTGAAAACTGACAGAGATGTTCTTACCATTTTCAGTGATACTCCCTCCAAGGACAACATCCACAAATAGAAATTGTAGAAACAGCATGTCATCTATAGGTGTCCTCTTTTCTCACCAAAATGTATCCTTTCCATGGGCTATAACTTTCTTCTACCAGAAGTGGACCTCCTCCACCAGCTAATGATGACTACCAAGAAAGCCTGAAGCTTCCCTCGACCTTGGGCCTCCTACACAGCCTCTCATTTCCCCTCTATCTTGAACTAGTTATACTCTCCACCCTGGAATTGAACTGCTCTCCTCTCCACTAAGCTCCTTCTCATTTACAGAACTACACCAATCATTCTTGGAACAAGTGGTATATGACATTTAAAGGTCATTTCATATTTAAGGATCTTGTACGTCATCTACAAAATGAGAAGACATACATCATGCTTTTCTCTGGTCATGCTTGCTTTAACCAAGTGCAGTTCTTCCAATTTTTCCAGTTAGCTATGCCTCTAAACTCCATCACGCCCCCACTTGTGGCCATTCCATCTCTCTCCCTTTTGAATAGTCTCTAACCCTTCTCTTTCCCATTTTATACCTTCTTCTACCATTTTCTCAGCTCTCAATTCTCTTTGGTGCTTTTTAAATTGTATCTATTTTAAATTTTACGTTACAGCCATTTGCAACAGTCATATTATACTCATACTATATGAGACCCGCTATTGAGTTTACCCATATATTCTGTTACCAGAATAGCATTTCATCTGTAATTGATATTAAGTATCTTACTAGGTGTTAGAACATACATAGATTATCAATATAGTTTCACTTATCAATATATTTCAAACAACAGAAGTATATTTAAATGGAGAACTAAAAGTCATTGTGATATTTTTCTGTTTTAGTATACAGAATCCTAGATATAAATATATTTACAAAAGTATATTCTAGAGAACTACTGTAGCTGACCAGGTACATTCTGACTCCCTGGAGTGTCCATAATATAAAATCCTAGAGGAGGGGTTGAGGATTTAGCTCAGCAACATAAGAGCCTTCCTGGAAAGGGCATGGTCATGAGTTCGATCCCAGTACCAAAAAAAAAAAAAAAAAAAAAAAAAAATCCATGAGAAGCAACCTGCACTTCTCACTGAGGACTAACTTCTGTGCAGTGTGCAATTGTGAAAAACAAGAAACTGCCTATAGCAAAGATCAGAAACTCCACAAATAAATTAAATTTTGTGATATGACAAGTACATTGGCAGAAACCATCATTTATGAATATTCAAGGATATTTAAGTAATCGTGAAACATTTGTTAATAATCCTCATTACTTAATATGTATGAATAGATAAAATCAAAATCATTTTAGACTCAGACAATGTTTCTTTTTTATGTGTCCCCAAAATAATATTCATTGAATGAAAGTGTGGGCACCTATTTTTTTATTTAAAGAGATAGAAACAAAAAAATATATGGAGGAAAAAAGGGTAGAAATAATACGGAATTACAGAAAAATAAACGGTAAGAAATCACCAGTTGATAAGTTACATATTGTCATCTTAGAGATAGTTGTTCACGTTAAAAAATTAAAGTATGTAAAATGACATTGAAATAGTGACACTGCCAATAGTTCTGTTCAATGATCTAACAAAAACTTAGTTATATTGTTATCAGTCCTACACATTTGTTTTTTATCATAAAGAGGGTAAGATTAAACATATCAAAATAGAACAAAACAGTTCAAGAAGAAACAATTTAAAGAAATACAGATTTCAAAGCAAGTCCACTGGAGATCTTCACTGTTTATCTAATTGTCTCTAGTTTATTCCAAATAATTGTCCCCATCTTCACACACATTAAATACATATGGCATATTATAGAACTAATCAAATCACTACAAGATAATGAAGGCTTTTTAGGTCTTCAAGACCTGTCATTGGAGAAGACAATAATAACTAGCATAGTGTCTCTCATTCTTTTCATAGTAGCTGTCGTTATCTTTACATATGCTGAAACTGAACTTAAGACAAGACTAATAGCACTCTGAACAGTGAATAATAGCATTGCTAGATTTTATATCATGATGCTACAGAATTAGCATTGGGGTTCTTAGTGTCTCTTCTTTAGAGTATCTGTTCATTACATCTTGCATTATATTATCTGTTCCCATAAATAGTTTTTAAAATCTCCCCATGTGTAAATTTCTACATATATATCTATCCTCTCTGTATTATAGGAAAAAGCAAATCCTAACAAGACAGCAAAAAAAATTCCTAGAAAAACATTCAATGAAAAAGACACATAAGACCACAATATTAGGTGATCTACCATAGTTACTATGCTTTCTCTTGTTATTTTCAATAGAATTGTCCACATCATCAGGCTTAATATAGTTAAGCATAGTATTACATAGCTATTTTATAAAAACACAACTTTGAAAACATTGTAGGACTTGAGAGCTGTTAATAATTAAAACCGGTATGGATATCTTTTATATCTAATCATCTTCAGAGTAGTTGTCTCTACTTTTAGGGTTGATACTATCAAACATACAAAATTCAAATAAAATCAGCCAAAGCAAAACAGCAGTTTAACAAACCAGCTTCAAATAATATCAGTCATAGTAAAACAATGTAAGTATTGGGTTTCGATTTAATTTAATAGGAAATTAAGGATAGTTACCGTGGTATAACCTGCTATTTTTGGGTCAGATGTCTGTGCCCTCAAATCTGATATGAGTGGACAGACCAGAACAAAATAAATTCAAACTAAACAGAGCAATAAGACTACTGTGACTTTTAAATCCTGATACACTATTAACAATGACCTTTGCCTTTTTTATAATGTATCAAAACTATCCGTACTAAAGATTATAGCTTACCGTCTCTGCCTCATGTCTGCTACTCCACTTTACTGCTATAATTTGTCCACCTTACTCCCTCATTCCACTGTCTGCCCCATTCATTGAGGCGTCTCTGCCACTGTTTCTGGAATCCTGGTATTCCTTGCTCTCTCTCTCTCTCTGAAGGGTTGGGTTGGTAGCCATGAACTCCCACAGTTCCTCCTTGTCTTGGAAACATCTTACTTCTCCATTAATTTTGAGACACAGTTTTTCTGGGTATGTCAGTCTTGGTTACAAATTATTTTCTTTCGGGGCATGTAATATTTCCCCCAGGGCCTTCTGATTTGAGAGTTTGTGTTTCGACAAGTCTGTTGTTATTTTGATAATTTTCCTGTTGTAGGTTATCTGCTTCTTTTCCCTGACTTCTTTTAGTAATCTGTTCTTTTGGTGGATTTCTGGAATCTTGATTATTATATGTCTGGGTATAGATCTGTTTTGGTTGTAGGTAGCTGGAGTTCTGTATGCCTCATTTATCTGGATATCATTTTTTTTCTTATGCTTGGGAAGTTTTCTTTTAATATATCTGTGAATATTCTTTGTATTTCATTTTTGGTTGATCCTGCTTCCTCGCTCACATTCTTTGTTCTTAAGTTATGTATCCTTTTGTCATCTTCTAGCCTTTGAATTGTTTCTTTCTGATTCCTTGTTATTTTTAAGAGGTCTTTTCTTTCACAATCATATATCAAAAATCTCTCTTCAAGTTTCAAAAGGCTAATTTTAGTTTCTGACAAAGCATTTTGCCAGTGTTCAATGGAGTTTTTAATTTCCTGGTAATCTCTTTGGATCTGTTTCATATATTCTATGTTACATTTAAATTCTTCTTCAGAAGTTTCTCTTTCTTTTCTGATTTCCTCTGCTCTTCCATCTGTATTCTCTTGTGAGGTGATTACCATTCCTTTATATCTTGCCTCACTTAGATCATAAGTACAGGTTTAAATTCATCTGTGAGGTCATGAAGCTATTTCTTTATTTCAGCTGATGCTGTATCTAGTATTGGATAGTTACTGTACTGATTCTCTTCTGTGTTTACTTCTCCTGGTCCTATTTTCCCATGCTCAGCAACTGTAGATTTTTTTTTTAATTTCTATCTCTTGTCAAGTTTCTGGTTTCTTTCAGAATGGTGTGTCCTTGGAGTCTCTGGCCTTCTCCATATTGCTTAGAGCCTTTCCGAAGCATGCTGACTTGATTTTTTGCTGCCCCCCCGCCAATTTTTTGTTATCTAATGTAGGCAGGGATGCAGGGATAGTGCAAGCTAGCCTCCAGCCACTGTGCCAGTCAATCTCTAAGTTAGGTTTTACCTTGTGGACGTCCCAGAGTCATGACTATTTTGTATCTGCTTATTGGGACCCAATCAGAGGCATGGTTCTGCCCCAGCAGATCCTGCCAGTTCTCTCTCTGCCAGAAGCAGCTGACTAATGTCACTGTGGTGCAGGGCTCTGCCCAAATCCCAGCTGTCCTCTACCAGACCTCTCTGTGCCAGGGGTGACTATCTGATGTCACTGTGGTGCCGGGTCTGCCCAGTTCCAAGATGCCCTTCAGCAGTCCTCTCTGTGTCACTAATGCTGTTATGGCATCAGGCTCTTCCCAATTTCAAGATGTCCTCTACCAGACCTCTCTGTGCCAAGGGAGACTATCTGATGTCGCCACAGAGGTGTGTCCTCTGCCCAACTCCAAGATGTCCTCCACTAGTCCTCTCTATGTCACTGATGCTGCAACAGTGGTAGGCTCTGCCCAGTTCCAAGATGTCCTCCAGGTAGCAACAGCAGCCATAGGGACCCAGTCACTAGTATTTACTGGGACTCAATGCAGATCTTCCTCTTGGGTCCACTGCACACTGCGCACACTTGTCTTCACTACGTTCCCAGCACAGCATGGATTGGTCAGAAAACTGCATGCTGTCCAGCTTCAGGGCACCAGAGCCTCTCACAGTCTCCTCCGATGCAGCCAGGTAGCTTTGGCTGCCTTGCGGGGTCCCAGGTCTCAATTTCCAGCAGTTGTCAAGAGCCAATATAGCTTTTTCTCTTGGATCCACTGGTCAGCGTACTGCATTAAGAGTACCGGATTCGCAGACTCCTGTTATTGGCAGCCACAGTCTCAGCATGACCTTAAATCCTCTGGCCATGCCTAGTACAGTGTGGAATGGGGCTCAGCAAGTACAGCTTCAGGCTTCAGCTTTCCATCCATGCTTTTCCTTCCTTTT